AACTTTGTAGGGAAAGTAATCTGTGGTTATAAACCAATTTTTTTTTTTGGTCTTTTGGAATGTTGAATTCCATAATCTTCTTTTGTTTATATTAGAAGCTGCAAGGTATTGTGTGATCCTGATGACTTTGGTTCCTAGATGCTTGAACAGCTCCTTTCTAAATGCTTGCAGTATTTTTTCTTTGACATGGGAGGTCTGGATTTTGGTTATGACATTCCTGGGACATCTCCTTTTTGGGTTCCTTTGAGAGTACATTCTTTGTATGTTCACTGTGCCCTCTGGTTCTAACAGATCTAAACAGTTTCCAATTATGATCTCTTAAAATATAGTGTCCAGGATTTTTTTCTTAAATCGTAGTCTTTAGGAAGTTTAGTGATTCTTAAATTATCTCTTCTGTTTTATAGGTCAGTCATTTTTGATATCAGATATCTTATATTTTCTTCTATTTTTAAAAAATCTTTTGACTTTATCCTAATATTTCTTGCTGTATCTTGAAGTTACTAATTTCTGTTTGATTTGGTCTAGTTTTTAGATGAGGGCTTGCCACTTTTTCTTTTCTTTTTTTTTGCCACTTGGGTGAGGGCTTGCTACTTTTTCTTCTTCCAGTTCTTCCCTCCATAGCTTTTTATTTCACTTTTTAAAAAAATCTTTTGCTTAATTTCTTCTAGGCATTTATTTAGTCCTTGTGGAAAAATCTATTTTTTTTCCTTTGAGTCTCTGCTTGAAGTTATTACAGAGTTAATCTCTCCTAAGTTGGATTTTTGGGTATCTCTAAATCTACAATAATTTTTCATACTAGTTGGTATTTTCTTTGACTTACTCATCTCTCCAGCTTTATTTCCTCAGCTGGGACTTTGTGTCAGCGTCAGGCTCTGGTTCCTGCTGTGGTTTTGGGTGGGGTGGCACTCTGTTAGCTCTGTCCCTAGGTTATCGTGCTGGCCTCTACCTCCCAGCATTAGGGCCCTCTGGATCTTTGCGACTCAGGCCACAGATCTCGAGGGTCCTCTGTGTTGTCTCAGGTCAGAGTGCTAGCCACTTTGAACCCTCTGGGCTCCTGGGCGTCCTGGTCTGAGTGCTGCAGAGCCATACTATTTGTTGCTCCTCAAGGTGGCTTCTGATGTCACCACTGTGGTTTTCAGTCACCCAACCCTAACCCTAATTCCAGCTCCCCTTTACATGTTGTCTGCCCTCACTTGAATGTAAGTTCCTTTAGGGCTTTGCTTTGCTTACTTGTATTTGTATTCCCAGTGTTTAGCACAATGTCTATCACATAGTAAATGATTAATAAATGACTCATCTACAGATAGAGCTTATCTTCCTATTCACTGATATAAGAGCTGAATTCCTATTCGCTTTCTGTTTTTTGACAAAATATTCTAGCTAACTTTAACAATAAGATAAGGCCAAAAGGGCTGTAAAGCTATTAGAGTTAAATTTGAGGGGCTATTAATATTAAATTTTTGTGTACTGTATTTAGCTTGGCATATAAATCCAAGCAAGCTATAAAATTACATTTTTCTTTCCCCTAAAAAATTAGAATACTAACTTCTGTCATATAGAAAACACTATTTACTAAAATTAGTATAGATTATATCATATCATAACTATATACAATATACAATTATATGTTATATATTATGTTAGATATTAAAATTATTTTGGAGAGTGGCATTAATTTGCAATTGCTGCCAAATGCAGTATACATTTCTCAATGATATGAGAATGACCAAACATATTATCCTAAGAAGTACCCCGCAAACATTTAAAAAATTTTACACATGGGTATAATTATACATGGACCAGATAACAATTATTAAAGTGCCCACTATGTGCCAAGCACAGTGCTTAGTGCTGGGGATATAAAGACCAAAATGAAACTGTTTCTAATTTCAAGGAGCTTACATTCCACTAGAGGAATGCTTACTACATGTTCAAAAACAAATAAATACAAGATTTACAGAAAATAAATACAAATTAACTCCAGGGACAGAAAAAACATCTGGGAGAATCAGGAGAGGACTCAGGTGGAACCTCAAAGGAATCAGGGGTTTCTGGAGACAGACTGAAAAGAAAGGGAACAGCAGGCATAGCAGACAAAGGCAAGGAGACTGGAGATTGAATGCTGTCTGGAAAACAGCAGACAGGCCAGTTTGGTGGGACCACAGAGTGCACGAGGAAAAGTAACGTGTCATCAGTCTGGGAAAAACCAAATTGTGAAGGGCTTTAAACGTCTGAAAATTGTGTTTTATCCTAGGATTAACAGGGAGCCACCTACATGTCTTAGGCTGGTGATGGACATGGTCATTTGTCTTCTTTTTCAAAAAACAACAACAAAACCCTAGATTTTTTTGGTGGAGGGATGAAGTATGGAATAGAAAAAAAAACATAAATGTAAGTTACTTTGTTAAATGTTTTATAATCAAAACAAACTAGTACATGGGATGCCTGATATATAAATGACACAATAAAGGCCAATGTGTTCCCACAGGAAGACTGAAGATTTCAGTCTCTAGTATTTAGAATAAGTCTGCAGTCTTTGTTATTTGAATGCATTGTTGGGTAGGTAGCACAGTCCACGCTCTATCCAGCCTTGAAAAGAAGAACAACAATTTGGCCCAGGCGAAGCTGATGAAGTACTTAAGTCTCATGTGTGATAAAGCTACCAAAGTTCTTCCCCATAAAGATGGGATTGTACTTCTTGTCAACTCTTATTTGATACGGGTCGCTACGGCTTTGTCTATGTCATATGTCTTCTGGGCATGAGTACGGTACTCTATGTAGTCCTGCTACCTCTCCTGTGACATGCCAATATTATATAGCCTTGCAGTCAGGCTAGGAACACTGTTTGGTAGGAGCAGAATGGCACAAGCACTCCAACTAACTGGGCAAGTGCGATCAAATGCATTTTTTTGGAGTATCAATTTGGCAACTATGTGGAATGTCATTTAGAGAAGGGAGAACCTAGATGCAAGGATACCTGCTTGGAGTCTCTTGTAATAGTCTAGGGAAAAGAATAAAGGTCTAAACTAAGGTGGTTGTAGTAAAAATGGAGAGAAGAGAATTGATAAAGGAGGCTTTCTGGAGATAGATTCAACAAGACTTCACAGTTGATTGGATATAAGGCATAAAACAGTGGAGTGGTTAAGGATGTCTCCTAGACTGTGAACCTAAGTGAGTGGAAGAAGGGTGGTACTCTGGACAGAAATATTAAAATTAGTAGGACAGGTAGGTTTAGCTGGAAAATTTTTTGGACCTGATGAGTTTGAGATGTCTGTGAGACATCCAGGTACTCAGCATCCAGCAGGTAGTTGCAGATATGGGACTGAAGCTGAGAAGAGGAATGAGATATGAATATAAAGACTTATGAGCAAGGTGCCATAAATTCACAGTGGGTTGTCAAGTTCCACAGTTTTCTTCAGTGACACTTGGCAGCCTTAGAACAGAAGTGGAAAAATTATATGATGCAAGTTTATAAGGTGAAATTATAGGGATGAGGATTCACAGGTTAGAAGTGGCACAAAGTCAAAGGAATGAGGGATTCAAGGGTAGTAGCTAGTGAAACATTCAGTGGTTGGCCAGGGGTCAAGCCTGGGTATCAAGGGAAGGAGAACAAAAACAGGTAATGGACTGGGAAAAGAGGCATGGGTCATAGGTCGAGGCCCAGAGTTTGCAATAAGGATGAAAAAAATTAGTGTATGTAGGAGAAAATATGAGGAAAGGAAGTTGTAGCTGTAGTGAGGAATTTAAAATTCTGGCTTCATTAAAGTGATGCAACTTTAGACATGGTGATTTCTAAGACATAACTATGTTTATTGGCAAGCTGAAGTGATGAGGAGTTTGCTATGGTTAAGAATGTCAAGAAACTGAATGGTTAGGTTGTTTAAGAAGTCATGAGCATGAATACTGTAGTCCTTGAAGACGATGCATGGAAGAGGGAATAACAGTGAAGAAGATGAGGTTGATTTTATGAATTTGAGAATTACTCAAAACAACCAAAGAAGCAAAAAATAAGTTATAAAACAAATATCATTCATCTCTCTGAATGTGAAAAAAATGCAAAGAATAAAGTAGCAATGAGTTCTATATCAGAACTCTCCCCACTTCAATCCATCCTCCATTCAGCCCCCAAAGTGATTTTCCTAAAGGACAGCATCAACTGTGTCATTCCCCTACTCAATAAACTCTAGTAGCTCCTTGTTGTCTCCAGCATCAAATACAAAATCCTATGTTTGGTATTCAAAACCCTTCATAACCTTCCCTCTTCCTACCTTTCCAGTCTTCTTACACTTTATTCCCCACGGTATTCTCTTTGATCCAGTGACACTAGCCTCCTGGCTATTCCACGAACAAGATACTCCATCTTTCAGCTCCTGGGCATTTTCTCGGGTTGTCTTTCATGTCTCCTTCCTTCATGTTCTCTCTCCTCATCTCTACCTACTGGTTTCCCTGGCTTCCTTTAAGTACCAACTAAAATCCCATCTTCTGTAGGAAGCCTTTCCTAATGCCTCTTAATTCTAGTTATTGCTTCTTTTGATTACTTCCTATCAGTTCTTTATTTAGCTTGCTTAACCATATTTGTTTGCTTGCAGTCTCCCCTCATTAGACTGTGAGCTCCTTGAGGGCAGGGACTGTCTTTCGCCTCTTTTTGTATCCCTAGTGCTTAGTAGTGTGCCTGGTACATAGCACACTGTACTTAAAGTTCATTGACTGAATGATGGAATGAATGAATGTCCTTTGAAAGTCTATTAAGAAATCAACCTACGGGGCAGCTAGTGGCACAGTAGATAGAGTTCTGGTCTTAGGAGTCAGGAGGACCTGAGTTCAAATCCGGCCTCAGACAATTGGCACTTACTAGCTGTGTGACCCTGGGCAAGACACTTAACCCCGATTGCCTCACCAAAAAGAAAAAAAAAGAAAGAAATAAACCTACTAAGAATCTATTTAAGAAACAGTAATGAATTTAAAGTTAGTAAGGTACAATAAGTATGAGGAATACTCACGTAATAAGGATGTGTTCTGTAGAACTCCCTGAAGATTCTAAAGGCAATTTCTTCATAAATCACTTTTGCTGTATATTTGCATCAGAAACTCCCTATCAAATACTTCAAATGAGATCAAATGTTTTAGAGAATCCAAGGACATTTAGGCCTACAAATAAAGAACAAAATGAAATGAATTTTATTTCTCGCTTGGGAGTTTCAGGTTTTATGCATTATTTTACTCTTTTTATTAGATTGTTTTTGTTGAGAATGCCATAAAGTTTTAATAAAAACAGTATTTTTAAAAGACTTTTCAAAAGAGAAGAATTTTGTTGTCCAATTTTGTTGTGTCAAGTTGTTAGATTGCTTGGATATAAAACTCAAAAGGTACAAATAAAAGAAGTCATAGTTGCTACAGCATTTAAATGGTTTGTAAAAACAAGCATCACATTTAGGTCTTAATACTGGAAAAGCTCTTTTCAAATATTCCAAAACACCCCAAAATATTTCGGTCTCTCTGGTGTAGGAAGGTAGCCTGGGCTTTTGCCCGATGAATCCCCTTATCCCTATGAGACACAGTGATTGACACATTGACAAGACCCTGGATTGGGGCTTCTTGCCCATTTCAGAAATTGATGCTTTTTGCAGTGTGTGAATGAAACTAAAACAAAAAATAAACATGGAATGATAAAATGTCCCAATTTCTATTAACTTTTAGTTTATAGAAGTCCATTAAGATAAACAAGTAAGGAAAAAAAATTGATAATAGCAGGTAAGATCAATCAACAAGCATTTCCTAAATTGCCCGCTATGTATTGGACACTGTGCTGAGTTCTGGGAATAAGACAGAAATGAAATGGTCCTGCAGGCTGTCCAGGAACTAAAATGAGACTGATGAGACAAAATTCAACTGGGCAAAAGTTGTATTCAATGAGTTTGAGGCTTTCCCCTCTCCTTTTTCTCCTCTCAGAAGTCTTTTTAAAAATAGTTCTCTTTCAATACGTTGAAACTAATTCCCCAAAGCATAATAATGTGTTTTCCTCTAATGTTGATGGTTTCTTGCGGTCTCAAGTTCCTGCTGATTTCTCATGAACTATGATAAAATCTCAGATGCTATATTCCTTAAGTCCTGGCAACCTGTGTATTTGTAACATAAATTAAAGCATTTCACATGAATTAAATTAACAAATTTGTAGTTGTCTGAATACTTCCATTCACCTCACAAATGGTTTAAATTCAAAATAATTTAATAAGCAAATAAAATTACAAAAAAGTTTTGTTTTCCTAGGCTAAATTAACAAAGTAAACAGATCCATAAACAGTGCTTTTAAAAAGATATTAAATAAATGTCAATTTCATCTCACATGTTTATATTTTAGTTTTCTTCAGGGGAAAAGGAAACAAGATGTAGAGTTTCTATGCCTAAAGTCAAAAATCTGTTCATGTCTCATGATAAAAGCATTTCTAATAATGCTATTATTAAAAACTAAATGGTTTAGATGGGGGCAGGTAGGTGGCACAGTGGATAAAGCACCGGCCCTGGAGTCAGGAAGACCTGAGTTCAAATCCGGCCTCAGATACATAACACTCACTAGCTGTGTGATTCTGGGCAAGTCAGTTAACCCCAATTGCCTCACCAAAAAAAAAAAAAAAATTCTTAAAAAAAATGGTTTAGATGAATTAAATGAAGACTTATCAATCTCAAAACTTTATTGCTAGGTAACATAAGGCTAGGTTTTTACTTCCTGAACCTCCTGGTTTTTTTTTTTCCACTTTGTAGAAATCTCCAATGTCTCTGTAAACAAAAATCATTTGAGTTATTTTAAAAATCACATTTCATTTCTTAAAATTGACCTATGTACCTTATAACTCTCAGATTATGATTTTTCAGAGCACAAATCTACAATGATTCTTATTCTAAACTCTATCCCTTCTCTTCAAGGTCAACCTCTCTAAAAGTGCCTTTGATCTCATTCCCTCCAATCTCCTCAAACAAATTGCCTCCACAATCATTCCTCCCCTTCTAATCTCCAGTCTTTCCCTAACTGCTGGCTCTTTCCTTATATCATAAATAAGACCAGGTATCTTCCAATTATTTAAAAAAACAAAAACAAAAAAAACCTTTCACTTGACCCAGCGATCTCAAGGTATTGTCCCATCATCTCCTCCCTTTCACATCCACACTCCAGTTATCTGATGCCACCTCCTCTCTTTTCACTCACTTCTCAACCCTTTGCACTCTGTGTTCTTATCATTACTCAACTGAAACTGCTCTTCAATGTCACCAAAGTTCTCTTAGTTGCCGAAATCAATGGCATTTTTTTCAGGCCTCAAGTTTTTTGACCTTTTGGTTGCATTTGATATTACTGACCACTTTCTCTTCCTGATATTCTCTGCTGTTGATTTTTAAAAAGATGCTGCTCTCTCTCCTGGTTCTCCTATCTGTCTGACTGCTCTTTCTCAGTACTCTTTGCAGAATTATTGTATTATGCCATCCTCTGTCAGCAAACCCGAGGCTCTGTCCTAGATCTCTTTTCTGTCTTGGTGACCTCATCAGCTCCCATGGGTTCCATTATTATTTCAATTCAGATGACTCAGATCTAGAGATCCAATTCAAACTCTCCTGAGTCCCAGGCCTGCATCATCAACTGCCTATTGGATGTTTTGAACTGGATGTCCTGGTGGCCTCTCAAACTCATTATATTTTTTCCTCTCAAATTCCTCTTCTGAACTTCTTCATTTCTCTTGATTACCATTTTACTCACCCAGGTTCATAATCTCAGTTAACAATCCCCCCCCACACACACCCTACACTCCTTTGCTTGCAATGCATATCTAATTAGCTGGTGAATCCTGTCAATTTTACTTATGAAACATCTCTCACAACTGTCCCCTTCTCTCCACTAATAAGAAGAGTTGCCTCCGTAGTTCAGGCCCATATTATCTCTCAACTGAACTATGGCAATAGGCTCCTAACTCTTGTCCCTGCCTCAAGTATCATCATCAATCTAGTTCACCCTTCATATTCAAGCCAAATTGATATGCCTAAAGTGCAGGTCTGACCTCGCCCCTCCTCTATGCACATGCCAGGGGCTCCCTATTTTCTTCAGCAGTGAATATAAACTCTTCTGTGCAGCATATATAAAGTCCAACATAACGTGGCTCCATTTAACCTTTCCGGACTTACTCTACCTTTCTTCCCTCCATGAGCTCTGTGGTTCAGCTAATCTGGCCTTATGGTTGTTCCTCCAACACACCATTCCATATCTCATCTCTGTGATGTTATACAGCCTCATAACCTCACTCCTGTAAGGAATTCCCACTTATCTCTGCCTCTTAGAATCACTAATTTCCTTCAAAGTTCAGCTCAAGCGCCACCTTCCACATGAAGCCTTTCAACGGATCACTGAATCTGCTTGTACCTTTCCCCAAAATTACTATTTATTTTCTATATATTTATGTACATGTTGTCTCCTCTCAAATAATGTAAGCTTTTTGAGGATAGGTACTGTTTCATATCTTTGTATCCTAGGGCCTGGTATATAGTAGGTGCTTAACAAATGCTGACTGATTAACCACTTAGACTGGGACTAATAACTCCTTAAAGAGTGTGACTCAGACTGGTGCTTAATAAATTGTTGGTTGATTAATCACTGAGAATGGAACTACATGATTCAACAATATCTGAATGAAAAGTGAAAAATTTAGTTCAATAACTTGGCTTAAGGTAAGTATTTTTAGGTGCAAAAAAAATCAAAGTTTAAAAAAGTGCTATTTAAAACTAATTGTTGACCTCAGATTATAGCATTCATGAGCGAGAGTAAACAGTATGATAGTGCTTTTAACTTTAAGAATAAAAGTGCTTTGTATGCCTAGCTATTATTACAATAACTTGTACATTCATTGGCTGAATTATTTATCTGTAAAAATTAAAACTGTCAGTGGACGTTAAATATAGCTAAGAAATGGAATTAGATATGAAAAACAAGTTGCTGATTGCAACATGATTAACTTGATTCAGACTCAAGAGAACTGTTAAACTATTTATGGTTGATGAGATATGAACTTTCTAACATGCTTTTCTAGTTATTCACTCTAAATCATATATAGAATAAGGATATACAAGGATATATTACATCTTGACAATTATTTTTAAAGATGAATTTCCTTTGGGGATAATTGCCAAAATTAATTGTGGGAGGAACTATACAAGATACATTCCATATATGTAATCTGACAAAGAGAAACACCTACTATTCACAGATGATGAAAACAAACAGTTGAGGATATACATACTCATTTTTCATGGCTAGAAAGAGAATCCATGAAATAGAAACAGCTAAATTTTAATGTTTTTATGATCTCTAAACAGGAGTTCAAAAATGTGTTCATTTTGTCCCAAACCAAGTCTAAATATAAAACTACTTTATAGGTTTTATCATTTCTCCCTTAGTAATGTTTTTAAAAATCAACATGAGAAAAACTGTATCAAATTTCATATGCTTTCATTTGATACATATTCTCCAAATAATTTCAGAAAGTGATGATAATCTAAATGTTCAATAAATATGAGCTATATTTTCATTGAATTCATTGAATAGCATGAGTAGCATTTACAAAATAAACTCCATTTTCTCAACTTTAAGTAGAAGGGGATCCTAAAAATCACAGTAATATTAAAATAGAAAAATTTTTTTATCTATGATAAATTGCTTCCTACCCAAGAAATAAAACAAAAAACTTAATGTGTAGTTTTTATCAATAAATCTGTCAAAGGATTTCTCAGTGTAACAGAGAAAAAAATGATTAAAGGTAGAGAACTCAAAAGGCAAAAGGACAAACTGAAAAGAAATGTGTACTTGCAAAGACAGAATGGAGAATGACATCACTATTCACCCAATGTTGATGTACTTTGTGTTCAGTTTAAAGGGATTTTATACTGCTCCAACAAGAAGTCAAATACCAGAGGATTTTTCTAAAATGTCTTTTGAATGTTAAGTACAAAACTAAATATTTTAGGGTAAATAAAGACCATGAAATGTATTCTAAAATTTTCTGTGTAAACTAGGAACAAAATTTTTGCTTGGAACACATTTTTGTTCTCTTATGTACACTAAGAAACATAAGATGACAGAGAAAAGAGCAATCTCCTTTGCAGCTGTTCCCAGA